TTACTTACACACAGCTGTCGATCACAGTAGTGGCAGAAGTGCTGGTCTGTCTAGTTGCTGTGAATAATGCTGATTGCACAAGCAAGAAAACAATTACTAAAACACCCAAGTGTCACTAAAGTGTAGATTCTGTGCCTCAGAGTTCTTTATGTTCAGCTTTAGATCACTGTTATGTTCTGAGACAAGGACCCAAGACCTGGTCCTGCAGAGCTGCAAGGCTGGAGGAAGAGAAATGTTAACGTGTGTCTTTGTGGAGTCCTAAATTTTTACTGTTTCCTGGGCTTATAGGTGTTAAAGAAAGATGACAACGTACCATGGACTGGAACTCTGGCTATTGTTCACTCCTATGTTACTCATAAAACAGGTAGGGATTAATGCAGATGCTGACAAGGGATTCCCTGCCATTTGAGTCCCTCTCAGCAGTAGTATTAAAGTAGTCCTGCAATGCTGCCAGGTCTGAGGGTGGCAGTAAGCAAAGGGCCATAAGGGGCTGGGAACAGAAAGCCACTTTCTCTCCCTTTCCCCTTGATCTGCTCCTTGCCATCTTCCCTCTGAAAGGAAGCTGAGATGGGACTGTCAGGATCTTCACTCTCTGGGGGAGACTGTCATCAAAGTGGTGCCTTCCTGAGAACAGGGCTGAAAATGGGATTTTGAGGCAGAATCATAGTGTGGGAGGCAGAGAGGCACAGTCAGGCTAAGCAGAGCCATGTAATTGGGTATGTAGCACAGTGTCTCAGGCACTACAGCAACACCAGCTTCCAATAGTTTCAGTACTGTTGGGTATGGCAGTCATTAGTCTCATTGATCAGTACTCTTTCAGTTCCCTGTTGCACTCTTACAATGGGCTGTTTGGGGCATCAGATCATATCCTAAGGAGCTTTGTGGAGGTGTGGCACTGTTTCAGTTGTGCTTTTTAGCAGGGTCACAAACCACTGCCATTACAGGTGGCTGACCTGTTCTTAAACACCATCCACCTCTTTCTGGGAGACACGTGGTCTAAGGATGAATTTTAATTAATCTCAAAGATGGACTGGAAGCTTTTGGGTTGTCCTGTGCACTAGACATGGGCACAGCTGCACAGCCCTGCTGTCTGTCCTTTCCTTACCTCTGCATCCTTAATCTCATTGTTCCACAGTCAAAGAAGAAGAGAAGAGAAAGTTATTAAAGAGAAGCAGTGAGCTGAAGAGTGAGCACAGGCAGTTAGAAGAAAAAGATCGACTTCTCAACAATGCAGTGAAGGTAGGACACCTGATTGGGGACACAGAGTCTCCTGCTGAGATGTTTATAAAGCATTTGTGCCTGAAAAACTGGTGGTTTGTGGCTAGAAAATGATTTTTGCTCCCAAGCTGCAGAGTTTCAAGTGTGAATGTGTTTCTCTCAGAGGAAATACATGTGGATTTCCTTTAGGCACAAAAACCAACTGCTCTGGCAGGCTGAGGAGGAGAAATCACTTGAGTTCCTGTGGCAAATACACACTCAACCCCCCCCCCCAAACAGCAGTGGCTGCCTTCCTTGTAATGCCATAGATAGCTCTGATGTACCCAGTGACTTCAAGGCACTTCCATGCTCCAGGGGAAAAGTTTAGCCACAAGCATCTCCTCCAGGGGTAGCTGCTTGTCCATTAGCTCAAAACTCTTGAGGTGAAGTAGAAATAACCATCTTTATTTTGGCAAATACACACTCAACCCCCCCCCCCAAACAGCAGGGGCTGCCTTCCTTGTAATGCCATAGATAGCTCTGATGTACCCAGTGACTTCAAGGCACTTCCATGCTCCAGGGGAAAAGTTTAGCCACAAGCATCTCCTCCAGGGGTAGCTGCTTGTCCATTAGCTCAAAACTCTTGAGGTGAAGTAGAAATAACCATCTTTATTTGTCTCAGGAGCTGAATGTTGTAACACCTCTGCATGACTGGAAATGGGTTCAATAATTTTCATCATTCAAACTAATTTCAAAGCTGGTTTGAGGTGTCTCTCACATATATTGTGCTATGAGGACCACTCTCTAGCTAAAAGGGCTGAATTCAAAGCCATAATTCCTATCCTTCATGGCTGAAGGAACTGATCTGGGGCTACCTGACTCTTAGTTTGCATGGCAGTCTCAATAAATATTTGACACTTCCTTGCCCTGGAAAAATCAAAGTGGCAGCTGCAGGAGTAACAGGTCACTGCTTGTTTTACCAGTGCAGTTATCCAGAGGGGGCATGTTAAAATATTTATCACATTTAAAACAGAGTGGAAGGAAAAGCAATAACTTATTAAAAGACATCACAGTGGGGAATATTCCCTGTAAGTGTGTTCAGGCACCATGAGCACTAATGGAAACACGTGTGTATGAAGTAGGTAGGAGAGGTCAGTGGGATGAGGAGTTTGGAAAAAGAAAAGCAGTCAGTTCTCAGGTGTGTGTCTAAATCAGTAAGATTTCTACCTAAGCAGAATGGGGTTCTTTCAGTGGGCAGCACTATTTTATTTAAATGGTAATATCAGCCAATGATTAAATTTACTGGAAAGGTATCCACTTGAAAGGGAAAAGCACTTAAAGGTGTTTCAGCACAGAGCAATTTCATTCTGACATTTTAACAGAGATTTACGTTAAAAAAGAACCCTCTCATGCACACCACAGGTGCAATGGTGTTATTTGGTGAAATCAGAACATGCTTTAGCCTTCACCTGAGATTTCATCTCTCTAAACCAACTCTGAGCAGCTTCACACAACTGCTTTCCAAACAAGTTGACTCTCAAGTGAACATTTCCCAGTTCCCCAGGACCGGAGAATCCCTGCCCTGGGCAGTCTGGACCACGGCCAAACAGGAGCAGTCTGCAGACAAGTAACCAGTTTTGCCAGACCCCTGGGCCCACTGGGAGAGAGAAAACAGGAGGTTTCAGATAGCAGAGGCCACTGGACCATTCCATGTAGCAGACAGGCTCAGGGTTTGGGTCTCTCAGCTGGTCCCTCGCAGAAGAATGGGATGTTGGCTGCAGCAGTCTGTGGTTGGAGAGGGAAAGGGGAATTGCTGATTCTCCTTATCTCTTCTTGGAGAAGCAGGAGATTTGGGACGCCTTTGTTTGGCCCCTGCTCTCATGCCCATTTGCATGGAGGTTTGTATGAAATGTTCCAGGTGGTCACAGGGTGCAGTTTGGCCACCCTGGACAAGGGCTTTCTGGTGACTGCACTGGTGTAACAGCTGTGTCTCACAGCAAAGTTTTCTGCCACAAAAATATCGACGTGTAGTGAGAAAAATATTAACATTTCGTGAGATCAATGCATCTTCACAGTACTCACTCCCTGAAGTGTGTGGCACGTACAGAATGCATCGTGGTGAGTTTGACCCCTCAGTGCCTTTTGGTGAGGTTTAGAGACCTCACTGGTGCCTTTGGTACTTTCCAGTAGCACAGCTATTGCACTCCCATGGCAGCCATCCCTGTGCAGTGAGTGCAGAAGGTGCTTGTGCCAGGCTGTCCACGGGATGAGCTTGGAAATGTCCTCTAAATGCATTTGGACCGGGAAGAATACTGTTCCCTCAGACAGCTGCTGCAGTGTGTGCAGCACTGGTGATTACTCCATTTGTTAAGCTGGGGGTTTGCTATCCCCAAAGGAGAATATACTTCATTTGAGCAGGACGTGCACTCGAGGCACAAAAGGACGTTTGGTGGAGATGTTTGACACCGATTTGAATGTGCTCTCAGCCTTTCCTTCTCTTCATTTGACAGAAATGCTTAGAGCTAAAAACCAGCCTGTTGGCCCAGCAGAAAGGGACTCAGTCATCACTGGAACGTCTCAAAACCCTCATTAGACTGATACAGAGCGAGCAGATGATTCAGGTTACCATGACGACCACCACCACCTCCTCCCTGCTGTCGGTGCCCTGGATGAAGCCCTCCCCTGGCCCCGCTGCCATGCACAAAGCCCTGCAGCCATCGCAGGGCAACAACTGACAGCGCGGGCCCAGGGCACTGGGAACTTTCTGCATTGAGCGGAGCAGAGATGCCACCGGACCGCGGGAGCGCTGGGTTTGGACGGAGGCTTGCACACCAGCCAGCCCGCTTTGCAGGGGGCTGTGGCAGCGGGTTCCCCACGGAGCGGGTCGTGCTGCGGGGTTTGGGTCTGCCAGGACCTTCCGTGCTTACGAGATTTTGTTTTGTTCTGTTGGCCTTAAATTGTCTTCGCGCCCGAGGATGAGCGGGAGGAGCGCGGCCGGTGGGGAGAGGGATAGTGGGGGGCAGGCAGGCTCTCTGGCCTGCTTTGAGGGGGCAGTTGTCAATGCACAGAGTTAGTGAGGTAGTGGGGGAGTAGTGGGGCTGAAAGCTGTGTGTGGGAGGGGAATTGGGATCCCCGAGGTAACCGGGAACTCAACTACTTAGGACTTGACTCGGATTGTTTTCAGAGGAACAAAGTTGGCCCCGTGGGTTGGGGGCCACCATGGACACTCACAGAGCCTTCGAAACAAAAAGATCCTTTTTTTCAGTATTATTAGAGTTGAGAATTGCAGATATTTAAATAAAGAAACTGTATGAAGTTAGCGTTTCTAGTAAAATATTGAAGTATTTTCATGCTGATGCTTCTGTATATGCGTTCCGAAGTATTTAAAGAAGTATGACTGTAAAACTCCTTACTTTTTTGCAGGTCCTTTTTACTTATTTTGCTATCAGTGTATTTTTCTCATGGAGTTTTTGTGCAAGATTTAGCATAAACCATGATAGTGGATATCTTTGGCAGGTTGGGTTTCATTTTTTAAAGAGGTTATTTTGGGGTTTTCTTTTTTTTCTTTTGGTTAATTTTGGATTTTTTTTTTAAAGGAAAAAAAAAGCAAATAATTATTCTGGGTTTTGTTTCTTGCCAGTACAGATAATATGCCAAAAAGATAACTTTACATTTTTGTACTGCATTTTTATTGTTAAAAATACGTAGTGTGATTTTTTTTAATTTTTTTTTTCTTGTAGAAATATCTGCTGAAATGGTACAGGAAAAGAAAAAAAAACTGCCTCAAGGGGTTGTTTCTGGAACTGGATAATATCAAGAGTTCTGGGGGAGGGACAGGGCATGGAAAATTGAAAGGGGTGGGGGTTTATTTTTTTGGAAACTTGATTCTTTTTTAATGTTTTGTTGGATTTTAGCATATCTGGGGAGCGTTTAGCGTTAGCCTGAGGAAACCCCAGTGCACCTGCTGGTTTCACTAGATAGTCTTCCTGATTCTGCAAGGGCCCTCCTGGCCCCCCAGGCCACGGCCCCCCTTCCTTGGCTGCCTGGGAAGGGAGTGATGGGCACCCCGGGTTTCCCAGAGCACCCCCCGGGTGCCCCCGTCCCTGCCCTCTCTGAGGTCTCCCTCAATCAGCACAACAGGTACTTAAGGAAAGCCTCCAGAGCACGACCCGAGGCTGGTCTCTCACATCAACATATCACACGGTGCCGAATACCTTCTTTGTTTTCTTTTTTTTTTTTGTTGTTGTTGTTGTCGCCGTTTTTAATTAAAAAAAAATTAAAAAAAAACCACACGAGGGACTGGCTTTTTCCGTCGCCCATCACCAGGCAGCACGTGGTCCCTTCAACCATTTTCACAACTCCGGGAGAAACTGTGCAGTACTATACAAATCTATTTTAATACACAACACTCGGTTGAACAAGATTTTTATATTCTTTTATTGATGAACAAAGTGAACTAAGTAAAAAAAAAAACCACAATTGTTATACATTGGTTATTGTACGCCAATTATGCATTCTGACGTGGCTTGCAATGTAAATGTTTTCAGGTTTAACGAGTTTTCTTTTTCCTTCTCAGATGAATTTAAAAAAAAAAAAAAAAGGAAAGGCGTGGAAGGTTGAATATGTGAAGAATTTCTGAAGTCTTGGACTGTTAAAAGTAGTTATTTTGAGAAGGGGACTGTCCAGTGGATAGTGTGCATAGGAAAAAAAAGTGTTTGTCTTAAATATGCCAATGTAGTTTTACTTCTTTATGATGCATTAAACTTGACTGACAATTTAATGGCAGTGTTGTCGTGGTGGTATTGGCTCTGAGGGGACACAGCACGTCCTTCCCTGGCCACACTCTGGCTGAGGGGGGGAAGAAATTTGTGTTGATTTCTCCACCACTCTCTTCAATTTTCATATTTAAACGATGCCAGAATAACTACAGTAATTTCTGCTTTCCTTCTTCTGGGAAAGTGACCTCTTCCTTGAGGCCATGGTGTCTCGCAGGCAGGGCACCCTGTCCAGTCCCTTGGAATAATTGCAGATCTGCTGGCAGACTCCTGGCCTTTGGTTTCAGACCTGCACTTCCAGGTGCTCTTCGAAGTGTGTGGTGGCCCCATTTTGTAAAGTCACTTATAAATCACTTCTAGCTGCAGTAAAGAATTAGAGGGCCCTCACAGGAGCTGGCGGTTTTCTGGCTGCCGGAAGGGATGGAACTTCCCAATAAAATTACCAAATGAAATCAATGTCACAGCTGCATAAAGCCTCCACAGTGGTTAGTGCTCATGCAGAGCAGAAGCAGGGTTTGTTGGGTTTGGGTTGTTTTTTTTCTGTCAGGGGTAGGGGATAAAGAAAAGGGTTTGGGTGGTTTTTTATTGTCTGGGTATGTGTTGCCTTGTCTTCCCTTCCTGGCAGTGCCATCATTTAATTTTGGGCTGCAGTCACCAGGGGGGCTCAGCACTGTGCCCCTGCTTTCCCTACAACTCAGCTGCCTCCTCCTCCCTCCCAGCCTGATTTTTCCTAACACTGCTTCCAGCCTTAGAAGACACCTCTCCCCCACACCAGCAAACCCCAAAATCGTCTGTAATCAGCAGCAGCAGCCGTCTGGCACCACCCTAACCTACAAACTCAGCCCGGTGCTGTCAGACAGGAGCCAATTACAGAGCTCTGCGTGTTGCCTGAATAATTAATGCAGTTGCAAGGGAGCGTAGGCTTGGGGTAGCCTTTAATCTTTGATAGTAATTTAAATGGAGGCTTTGGTGGAGGTTTGCAGGAGCCCCCAGTCTCCGCGTCCCTCGCTGTGGCACCGGGCATTGTCTTTGAAAGGAACCAGGAGCTGCGGGGTTCCCAGCCTCCCCTCCCAAGCCAAAGTTATTTTTACAGGCTGTGCCAGACTTCACAGCTTCAGAGCTCTTTATTTTCCCCTGGCAGACTGTTTTCTGTGCGCGGGACCTTTTCACATGGCACGAGTTCCCCGGCAGAGGAGCTGCCACTGGAATAGAGCCTGTTGTCTGCGAGCCCGTCAGCTTCGTATTTGCACCTCTTTCCCTGTGGTTTCACCTGCTCTTCCTCCTCTCACTGTCTGCCCTCCCTCAGAAATGAGAGGAAAAGAAACTCTTCTGTCTCATGGGAAGTAACAGATTGAGGAATGCTGACATGGCTTGTTTGTGCCACGATCTCAGACGGTTTTGGGCTTCGTGCTCTTGAGGATGGCCCCGTGCAGGGCTGAGTTGGACTCAGTGATCCTTGTGGGTCCCTTCCAGCTCACCTTATTCAGTCATTCCTGGAGGGAGAAGCCACAGTGGATCCATTAGGACCTAAATGCTCAAAAATCAGGAAGCAAAGTCAAGATGCCTCAATTTTTAATTTTTTATTATTATTTTTTTAATATTTAGTCCACGATCACAGCAGCAATTTTTGCATGATGGATTTAACAGTAACATCAGCAGCTTCTGTCGTGGCAGACCTTAATGTAAGGAAGGATGACAACACAAGCTCCACAGCAGCTGTACGAGTTCATTCCACACGCACACAGGTTTCTCAGCAGTTTGATGGCCTATTAGGATCGCTTAAACTTTTAAAAGAGTGCGTTATAAACCCAGCCGTACTTTTTTGTTCTGTCTTCTGCAGGTCCTCTGTAGTTGAAAAGAAAGTCATTACGCTGAAATGAGTGGCAACAGCCACATCAGATAAAGCTCCGCTCACTTTAATCAGGTTTTGCCAACTGCAGCTTATTTTGCTTAGAAAATGAAGCCTGGCTTCTGAGATCAATCACTAGCGACTGACTGGTGCAAACAGAAAATGCCAGACTGCTGCTGTAAGACACTTTTAAGTTTACAGTAGTGAAGATCATTAAAGCAGAAGTTGGGATTTTTTTTTCCCCCCTCCCTTAAAAAAGCAAGCAAAAAATTAAATTGTCATGATAGGAAAAAAATACTACAAAGCATACGCAGGCTTGACAGAGAGATTCTGGCCAGGGAGAAGGGAAAATAAAAAAAAAAGATGCTGATGCTGTTTCTTCACTGAAAAAAAGTGCTGTAAAATGTAGGAACAGGCTGCCCAGGGAATGGTGGAGTCACCACCCCAAGAGGGATAAAAAAGACATGCAGATGTGGCACCTGGGGACATGGTTCAGTGGCGGACTCAGATATTTTCAGTTTAGTGGTTTAACTCCATCTTAAAGGCCTTTTCCAACCAAAACGTTTCTGGGATTCTGTCATCACCTCTGCTGTGTGCCCTGGGCATTTGGGGCTGCCTCACACAGGGGTACCCTATGTGTTGGGGCCAGGGGGTCACTATTTTGGGGGGTAATGTTGCTCTGGGTGTGTGTCTGACACCTGTTTATTTAGCTGGGCTCAGACTGGAGCCAGGGGCTGAGCCCTGGCAGTGCCAGTTGGCTGCCAGCTCCTGCCCTGCACCGGAGCAGTAACTAAACACTGCAGCCTAATAAAGAACTGAAAGGCACATGTGAAGGCCTCAGACATGAAATAATGATGAAACAGAAAAGCAGATCAAAGCTTTTAATTTCACTCTAAGTACTTTACTCTCAGAAATTCTTATCAAAGACAGGCAGATGTCGCTGCCTCCAGGGGTCTCAACTCAGAGCTCCCCTATTTGCGTTCACTCCGCAAATTTGCCCTCAAAACTGGAGGCCTACGATGTAAGAGCAGTGGTGGAGTTTGCTGTGGCAAAGCCACACACTGAAATCTGATAGCACTGCAGAGAGGAGTCAGTGCTGATGTGGTGCTGTACAGCTGTCAACACAAACAAACCCCTGCACAAACACCACCAAGCCTCTGCACACTGGTACGACCCACTGTTATCAACCAACACTTATTTCCATGGTAAAATGCTGGCACAAGCCTTCCGTTTTGGGATCTGTGTTAGGCAGGAGAGGGTTTACAAAGTTTATAAATAAAATGTGCTCCCAGTTGTGCTGAGCCATGGGCTGGGCACCCACCCTTGTGGAGCTCAGCCTGCAGGAA